CAGCTCCATGATGCAGCTGGTTTCTTCCTCTCCCCCCTGCATTGGCTCATATTTGCTTCTGTCCTTTACTGCTCTGTAGCCCTGGCCGTACCCCTCTGCATCTGCGGTATGTGGGATCTGGTTCATTTGTCTTGCGTTTCACTTTTCATTTGATGCCCATGCTACTCATAACATGTAGTGTTATTAAAAAACAGCTACTAAGGTGATTAGCTATTGAACTGAGAAATAAATGCCATTAGCCTGTTCTACGGGGTGATGGTATTTAGCCAAAACAAAAGGAATGTTGTGCTTCTCTGGCCAAGGAAATTCAAGCCCCCTGGCTTCACTTTGGAAAGTTTCCCATCTGCTGCGTCCCTAGATGTGCTTGTATAACATCAGTCGTACCTACTAGAATGGAATTTACCTTTAAAATGAGCAGCACTAAGTGAATGCTCTGATTTAATGTCTCGCTACAGTGAAATGCTCAGGCACTGCTGGCTTTCCATTTCCATGAATTGCTATTTCTGTATGAAAGAGTTTCTTGTGAAGTACAGGTGCAGCCTTGCAAGTGGACATCTGATGATCTTTTGCATCTTTGTTGTTAACTGGGCACTGTGGGAGAGCTCCTGCAGCTCATGAGGTGGTGTTTTAAAAGGTAACCTGAGTCTGTTGCTAATATAGAATTTTCCAAGAGTCTTCTCTTTCCACTCTATGCAGACTCTTGGCAACATTTACAGCCCCTCTCCCACAACTGTCAGTGTCGTGGCCCGTATCCCTAATAAGGATAATCCTTGTTTTATAGAGATAGTTAATTGCTGCAGCTTTAACCTGCACTGAACCAAAAGTTATTCCTGGACCACTTAGGAACTAAAAAAAAAAAAAAAAAATCCTATTTTACCATCATGAAGAAGCCACATGTTGTGCAGGCGCTGCTGCTTTTTCTTGAAACACAAAGGTGTGTCCCAGGCTACCTCTTCTGTGTAGAAAATATGTGTAGACTATATACATGAAAGAATATGTAGAAAATAATATATTGCCATTTACCCTGGCAAATTTGTATCAAAGGGGAAAAGGTCTTTAGCTCAGAGAAGCTGAAGTTGCAGCTGTTCTCATGAGGTGAGGAATGCTGAGCCAGAAAGAACTCCGAAATGTAGACAAGTTAGAGAGGAAGCGAGGAAAGTATCAGCAGGCGAAAGCACCCCACACAGAAATTAGGCACTCCTTATTTACATTACAAGGTCTGCACATGGCTGGAGCCTTTTTCCATTCAGTCTCCTCATACATGTATCTTGCAGTTATTGTCACCTAATAACAGCCCCCTGCCCCTTCAGCTACACACTTAAAAAGAAAGCAAGTATACTTCTTGCTGCACACCACCTTCATTCAAGGCTTCCACAGGATGATCAAAGCCTTGCTTCACCCTCACCTTCAATTATCAGAGGTTGAATGTGTCAGCTTGCTTACACTCCCACTAATTTAGATACCATTACTCCCTTCATAACACCTGGAACACCTGCCCAGTCTGCACGTTTGACTTCTAAAGTAGCATGAAGTGCAGGGGAGGAGTTGATCAACTTGGATTGTTATTTAATAGCTGTTTTGCAGAACTGCCTGCAGGCTTTAATTAAGATCAAGGTGCTAAACACAAGGAAGACTTACAATGAAAAATAGTCCCTGCCCCAGAGAGTTCATAATCCACTTTATAGCAAGTTACAACAGGTGGGTGAAATAAATTAACTGCAGGGAGAGAAAGAGAAGAATCTACTTCTCCAAGCATCTTCTGGGCAGTGTGGATCATTTTCATGTATATATTTACCAATACAGAGATGTTCATTTTGCTGAAGATGCTGATTTCTCCGTAATCTTAAAATTATCTTCCTGACGTCATACAACTCTTCTTCCAAAGAAACATAATCTGTAAGATTCCTTCTCCCCCTAGTGTGTTGGATATGTGATACTCCAGAAAATCACTGGTTCTGTATCCCTTCCTTTTCAAGGGCTCCAAAATCTAAATGTATTGACTGCTTTTCAGCAGAGCAAGAGACAAAGGCAATCTTCTAGCACTTTATGTTTAAAATTAAAATGCCTCTAATAAAAGTAGGAGCTGGCCCATATCCCTCTTTGGGGAATTAACTGTAAAATATGTTGTTATAAAGCTGTGTTAAAGTGTGAACTGAACTTGGTAACAATCAGACATTAAAGTTTAGAAGACTGTAATACCCAATAGGCTTATTTTTCCATTAAAAATAGGGAATACATAATTTTGTAGGTGGAGATAAAGGTCAATTTTATTTATTTCAGCTTGTCAAGTTTCATGAATAAATCTATTATCTCTAGTAATATTCCTTAACAAGGTATTTCTATCTGGTTTCCACCAATATGCTCTTCTAGTACATTGTACGCTGTGCAGTTCTTTATATCATGCAAAAGTAGTGCAAAATACTGCCAAATCAGAATCCTTACCAGCTGGCCTTAGGGGTAGGAACTTACCCCTACTTTTCCACAGAAGTAGGCCACTTCCTCCAAAGAGAGTCACGTGCAAGATCAGGATGTAAATAACTAGCAAAGATAAAAGCAGTGAAATGTTAATCTCGGATGTAAGCAAATGAGAATTTTGCTATTTTTAGTAGGACTATAATGGGTAGAACACACTGGGGAATTTTTTTGTTGCTATACAACAACCTTTTACTATTAAATTATTTCTCTTCTATACATCATAATCCTTTGTGATTCAAAATATATAGTGCTTTCAAAGGAAAAAAAAAATGATTGCCAGAATATTCTTAAAATTTCATCCCTTTTCAGCAGACACATCAAGAAATGTGAATGTCCTCTAGACAAAACACAAGGTTAATACTGAAAATGCCCCCTTTTCACTCTTACTGGTGCCCAGCTGGTCAAAGACTTGGCTAATTGTAGTACAAAGCAGAGGAAACATGCACTTGAAACAGTATACTTCAGCAGCACAATGGCTTTAGTTAGCAGTTAAACACATGCTTTTAGCAAAAAGATTATTTCATTTTTTTCTAACTAAGGGTTCTAGATGAAGACTTTTCTAGTACGCCCTACTCTGAAGTCGGCTTATGTGATCCTTTTGTGTGCTGTTGCTATTTTACACGGGGCTGGTGTACATCCAACACAGGTAGAAGTAGCTACCTAGTTGCCACAGAGGTGTAAAAACTACAGTGGCAAATGCAGCAAGTAAGAGAGCAGTGGGAAGGAACCGAACGATGGAGAGACAGCAAGAATATCTGCGACAAAATACTCCGTGCCTCCTCTAAAACCTGTATGCTCTGGAGACAGTAACACATGCAAGTGTCTTATTAGATGCTAGTAATTAGTCTTTGAAAGACTTCACTGCTCAGATCAGGCTTAGATATTGAAATGCAGAATTACTTAACACATCCCTGTGCTGTGGGAAACCTTCCTTGCAGCTAAGCTAGGTGACATTTATGTTCATTCAGACCCGATCACTGCTGCTATCGCTATATGCCAGGCAACTAACAGGACGATTTCACCCACTCGGTTATTTTCAGCTCCTCCTGCACTGTTTGTCTCCTGTTTCACGGGGCCAAGCGAAAGGCCTGAAGAGTACGGTAGGAACACACAGCCGGGCCA